ATTTTATACAATATATATTATTTACACAATCATTTTTTATCCCTTAAATGTAGCAAAATAATTTCCTAAATTCTACATAAGGGGTCCGAAAATTTAATCTATGGAAGCTCAAAATTTTCGGCCACCTTGGTTGATTTTTGGGTGATTTATTTTGGTAATTTATATTTTTAATTATCTCCCTTAAATCTATTATTTTTCCTTAATTCTTATTTCCTATCTCCTAAATATTTGATCATCTTATTTCCCTACCTTATATCATCCTTGATTATTCCCCAAGCAAAGCCATTTGCCATATTATTTTTCATGACAATATACTTTCCATAAATTAATTATTTCTTAGTCACCTTAATACTAAACTTTCCATGATTCTTTAACTCTCTTCTCCAAGTAATTTCCTTAATTTTTTTTTACATAATTTTTTCCTGCATTCTCCTATCATAATTCTTGCATGAGCTAGCCTATAAATACCCCTTGATTCATAGCTAAACACTCACACCAAATTCTCTAATTCTCTCTTAATCTCTCTATTTTTCTCCTCTCTTTTTCTCTTGCTTTCACCCGGCCACCACCACAAATCTCCACCTCCACCCCCGGCTGCCACCAGCCGCAGACGCCGACCACCACCGCCGACCACAGCCGCCAGCTGCCGCCCCCTTTGCCGCCACCTCTCTTCTCCTTTTTCCTTGATTTTCTACCTATTTTTCTTCTCCTCTTCTCTTAATTCATTAATTATTCTTATTATAGGGGTTGTATAAAAATTATTATGAGTGTTTTTATTTAATAAAATCAAATTTTTATTCAAGTTTATGAAAAATAATTTATAAGGTTCATGTACATATAGTTCGGGGGTTTTATTTTAACTGTTATGATTATTTGTTAGCCTTATATTAATTAAGGTTATATTTATTTGTAGAGTGTGTTTGATCAAAGTTCTTGAAGCTCTTTTTTGTGTTGCTAGCAAGGATCAAAGGTACGTTTAGGTGGCTAGATACCTTTGAAATTGATTGGATAGAATAAGCATGTTTAATATAATTTTTATGGTGATTTAATTAAATTGAATTGAATTATGATTTTTGAATTAAAAGCATGTTTAAAGAACTGATTTTGATAAATAAATTGAGGATTGATTTTATATCATGTTTTGAATAAATTATTTATCATGTTTTAAAAGGTTTGAGTTTGAAAGCATGTTGAATTTAATAAAAATGAGGTTTTAAATTGTTTTATTATAAAGATTGGAATTATTGATTTAAAGAGGATTTATTGAGTTATTTATAAAAGTTTTACAAGAATGAGTATTATATTAATCCCACTATGCGGATTCATTGAAAACTATGGACTTTGTATGACCTAGTCTTTCCTCAAGGATAGCCTTTCAACATAAAGATACTAGCTTGGGGGGTGTGCACACTTAGAGAGGAATTGGGTTTTTGAAAAGAATTGATTTTTAATAATCACTATTATTGAATTCTTGAGTTATTGGAATTATATTTGAGTATATTGAGAATTGATTTTTAAATCATGAGTTTAGAATTATTGAATTAATTATTAGAATTGGTTTTAAAAGCATGTTTGCTAATAAATTGAATTTACTTATCTTGCACTTATCGTACTTAACATATTTTGCTAATCCATATTTCCTATTTGTTTTGGTTCGTCCTGTTTGCCTTAATGGGTAAGCAGTGTTGACTATTTTCAGGTGGATTCAATAAGTGAACATTTGGGAGTCTCGAGATGTTCTTCACCTAGTTTAGGAATGTTGGTCCTTTTTTATATTTTGAGTACTCATAACATTGGTTACTTTTTATATCAATAAAGAAAGAGCTTGATCGAATTTCCGCTGAGAAGTTGTGGTTTTAGTTAGAAGTTTGAGTAGTGATAGGTTAAAAAGTCGTATCACCTAATCAAAAGTAATTCCTAAAACCACTAACTAAAATAGATAGGGAAGTAGGGTCGAATCCATAGGGAAACAATGTTCTTTTATTTCGAATAAATTATTATAGTCTAAATTATCAAGAAACGAGTATTTTTTGAGAATTATCTACGACAATAATTAAACTAAAGGAATAATCAATAACAAAGAAAACCTAGGGTCATAGGTTCACTAATGGATAATATTCCGGGATGAAAGACAACAATCAATTATCAATACATAAATTAACCAGATTATAAAGGGTTTTCGCTACGTATTACAATCACAGAATTAATCTAGTTGTATTAAATCGCATATCTCGAATCTTGACTTAACCATTTATAAATTAACCTGCCTATTTAAACTAAGCCTAAACATCACTTCTCATCTGTCGAATTTTGAATCAATATTGAATAACTCATATAATTAAACATGCGCAAATCTAATTGTATAGCATTATAATAATCAACAAGAAATTAACCCAAAATATTAACAATCAACAATAATAATTCATCCCTTCATATTATTTATGGATCCCCAAGAACCCTAGAATTAAACTACTCGCGCATAATTAAACCTAAACTAAGCAAAGCGATTAAATTAAACATAATTAAAAACAATAATAAAAACTCAAAGGAAGCAATGTTAAAGAAAACTAAGAAAGGCAACAAGAATAAAACTAAGTAAAAAACATTAATTAATACTAATAAAAACGAAAGTAATGAAACTACCTAATCATGAAAGTAACAAAACGAAAGATAAACTAGTACTCGTAACCGAAATCACCTAACTGATGAAAGCCAAAATTCTAAAACTAATATGCGTAAAAGTAAAATAAAAGTCAACTTAAATCTCTAAGCTAAATGACTAGAAGGTCTAAAGAATAAAAGATGTCCCCCTACTACTTCCATAATTGGGTATTTATAATTTCTCATCAACCGACATCAGTATGAGGACCTCTTCCCCAATCGGCCCGATTAATCTGGAAATAAGCTTTGGCTTTTGTTGGGTTGTCAATTCTCCTTTTCTTGACTTGGGTTAAATAACTCGGCCCAATTTCTTTCCTTGCTTCACATGGTTCATGACTCTATGATAATGATTTGGTCCGTGGTAATAATAATATTAAAATCTTTGATCTCATTTTTAATCGAGCCCTTAATCACCGAACCAAATTCCTTTGACTTGGTCTTGGGCTTTAAATATTTGGTCATAACATACGATCCGACTCTAATACTTTGTAGTGGCTCAATAAGCGCGGGAACCGTCATAAATCTGCAAAATCCTACAAAATAATACCAACTCTACAAAAACACTAGAAAATGTATATTAGTAATAAAAATAGCTCCCCGGAGCTCAAATAAGCACAAATATGACCATGAGACAGGGAATAAATATATATATATAAAATAGACTCATCAAGTAGCCTTGTCTAATCACGTGGCGGTAATACGCCTAAGTCTATCTCTACAGTATAATTATATGTATTATACTAGTATTTCCGTAGAGGGAGATTTAGGGGTGTTACAGAGTAACCCCTCAAGTAACCCGTGACTGAACTCTCAAGTAACCCCTGATCGAGTAACCCCTAACCGAACTCCTTAAGTAACCCCTAATCGAGTAACCCCTAACCGAGTAACTCAAGTAACCCTTGACCGAGTAACTCGAGTAACCCCTGACCGAGTAACCCCTCAAGTAACCCTTGACCGAGTGAACCCCTCGAGTAACCCCTCAAGTAATCCTTGATTGAGTGAACCCCTCGAGTAACCCCTTTCCGAACCCCTCAAGTAATCCCTGACCGAGTAACTCGAGTAACCCCTAACTGAATAACTCAGGTAACCCCTGCCACACGGTGTAGCCTGCTGCACCAAAAAGTTGCTGTTTGCGAATACCATGTTAACCAAACAACAAGGGGTCTAACTGTCTATGCATTTCTTAGCTAAGAATTACTATTGCCTATGTCAAATAAGTGCAACCAAAAATAAGCACTTAAGTCGTTTCATTACTCACACGAATCCAATCAATCAAGCTTTGAAGTGAGTTTGCTTAGCTAGCATTGCTTCCATAGATCCAACAAATTTCATATTTATCATCCACAACTAGATCCATAAAATTATATCTATACAACTATATACGAATATAGCAATTCACCTAAAGATGTCTATGTATTAAAATTAGTTTTATATGAACAGAATAAATTGATCCCTTGTTTGAATTAATTAATCTATAGTCTTAACTACAAATTGGATGTTGAATGTTGTACTATAAAGCTATAAGTCTGTAAACATGAAGAATAAAAAAATAAAAAAATAAAATAAAAAAAGCATGGAAAAGACATGAGCAAACGACCTGAGAGTATCGTAAGCATGGTACTCTAGGATTACCATAGAAATTGCGTACTTCTTAAGGTTGTGTTTAGTACACCTTATTGTCGTTTATATAACGTGATCAGAGTTTTTTTTTTTTTTTTTTTTTTTTTTTTTTTTTTTTTTTTTAAAAAAAGAAAAATATGATTCAATCTAATTAATTATTTGATTTAACTAAACTTTGACTTGTTATGCATGCTAATCCGTAAGTAAAAATATCAAAGTATGTCCACTTCACAAGTCCAAGGAGCAAGTTTCATCCCAAAATCATATGACAATAGGAGAAGAAATAATCACTTTTCTTGATCTTCTCAATGTGAGACAATTACATGTATTCTATAAGAAGTTTATACTTCAACAGATATTTAAAGTATACGAAATTGGCAAATTCGAAATGTGCATGCACACTTAAGCCCCGTTCACTTCACCTTATTTTTGTTGAATTGAAATTATTTTTACTGAACTGAAATTATTTTTGCTGAACTTAAATTATTTTTACTGAACTAAAATAAATTTTGCTGAACTGAAATTATTTTTGCTGAACTGAAATTATTTTGACTGATTTTCTATTATATTTCTTCTTTAAGTTTACTGATTTTTTTACTGAATTGAAATTATTTTTACTGAATCGAAATTATTTTTGCCGAACTGAACTTATTTTTACTAAACTAAAATTATTTTTACTGAATATTATTTTTTTAAGGTGAATTGAACAGGGCCTTATATAGATCCAATTAAGATCCAACCACAACAGTTTTATTTAGGTAATATTAAGTATTACACAGTAGTACTAGTAGATAAATCAAGTCATCCAAGACTTGTTATTTTCACTAGTACATAATACATACGTAGTAATATATATAACTTCATATATATTTTGATGTAACTTATATAAGCACACCAAAAATTGCTACGCATATTTATTGATGAAGATTAGTTAGCAACCGGGATGGGTGCATTTTCTTGGAGCATGAACACTTCAAGCTCCTTAGTAGGGGTTTGACATACTATTTCAAGAACTTGCGCATAATACTTGTTAGTCTTGCAACCTTCAGATGCCTCCAGATCAATAAAGTACCTCGTGCTACCAATCATGTCTTCTCGTGCTGCTTTTAAAGTCCTCTTATACACCAGGTCTGTCCCCTACAAATTACAACGAGGATTAAATAAACATATTAAACCGGAACGCACAACATGCATGTTAAGAGGAACGGACATATAATGGTATGGATATATGACATATATCATGTATGGGACAGGATTTGGACTTGATCAAAAAACAAATTTATGGGGCAGAGGATTTGGACTCGATCAAAACTAGTTCAAAAGTTGTATTATTTGTAATGTAAAGTAAATAATTGATGTTAATAATACTTCATAGACCATAATATAGCGTATTATTGGTACATAGTATTATAAAATTGACCTATGAATATGTTCATTATATTGATTACATAGTATTGTTGTACACTTGTATATCTTGTACGTACTCGTAATTTCTGGATAAAAAGGTGAACTCTAAGACAAATTCTTATAAAAGACGGTTTGATAGATTTTTGTTAAACGTGTTAGTTTAATAAAAATTTACCTTTTGCTTGTTATGCTCAGCAATAGCCCAAGCAGCGACCTCTTGGATCTTTGGATCGTTTGGGTCGACAGGCTTATAACCTCCAGAGGTGTTCTTCAGTTGAACAGAGGAACTCATTTTTGCGTATGATTTTGTGTTATGTAGGGTGTGTATTGTTTGTATTGTATGTATGTGTTGCGGAACTCTATCTTTTGCAAACCCTCTCTTTTATAGGATTGGAAAATGGAATCAATAATTTCTTTTCTTTTTTTGTTCGATCAGATTATGTGGCTTATTAAATAATGAATATATATTTTGTTAATTTGGACCGCATATCAATTTTAAGTTGATTCTTAATTACTTGTTATTTTGACCATACACGTTGTTTTGATGATACGCGTGCACATTTGTTGTTTTTTTTTTATATAAAAAAAAAAATATATTTGTCACGAATCTCACGATTATGAAGAGATACTTTTATCTTCTTATCGCCATTGATTCTTTTTATCGTGGATGTGAAATGAAAGTGATTTATTATACTTCATGGTCAGATTTTTATAATCTACGGCCTTGATCACTTCAGAGAATGATTTACATCGATTAAAAGTATTTTCAATCAATGAAAATCAGCTTAGATAAGAGGAAAAAAGTTCCAAATCTGTAAAAAAAAAAAAAAAAAAAAAAAATTAAGTTCTAACCACTTAAAATTGTATAGCACCGGCTCGATGTGTTCTTTGATGATTTTATTCTTCATCAAAGCGTTAATTTCTGGTTTTTATCCTCTACCTTGGTCACCATTTATCCTTCATTAACCTGGTGCTATGTTTAGTATAATTTTTACTTACCCTTTCATATATTGGATTTTGTGTTTTGAGTGTACTTTATGCCTTTATATACCCCTCAAATTTCTCTTTACCTTCATAATTAAGTTGGCATTTGTCAAAATGACTATTATGTGCTACTAATCATGCAAACATGTCACCTCAATTTCTTAGGTACGAGCTGTTCAACTCTGCTCTAGACCAATATGTTCGAGGCCTGGGTCAAAGATACTAAATTTTCCCAAAAGAAACTGATGGGAGCCCCCATTTTGAAGAGCACGGTTAAAGGTAAAGGTTTTTCATAGTACAGTATATATTAGATTAAAAATAGAATACTTGTTAATACAAAGATTACCAAGAGATAATCTTGTTAAACTCTTTTGAACTAACAAATTAAAAGAGGTTAAAACACACAAATAACAAGCCAAGACCAACCCTATGAACCAAAACAGACCACAAGGACGGTCGATACCCAAAATTACCCAAACCCGAATACCATAGCACTGTAATGGAGGCTAACACGAACACTCATATTTCTTATATTCAAAGGGTAAAGAAGCACTCATATTTCTCTTTGAGATCACAAGAGCACATTTTATAGATGGAATAATTAATTGAGGGGCATAAGGTTGTGTTTAGTTCAATTCACCTTATTGTTGTTTATATATTATGATCGGAGTTTTTTTTTTTTTTTGACAAGAAGTTGATCTAATTATTACTTAATTTAACTAAACTTTGACTTTTCAGTAAAAATATCGGAGTATTATTGATTTATATTCATGTGTGTTTTTCGGATACGAAGCTTTCATAATTTTATTAAATTCTTCATTTATTCTTTGAATAATACAGGTCTGGGCAACCAAGAGAGAGAGTGTGTACTTCACAAATCCAAGTAGGTTCCATCCCAAAACAATATGGCAATAGGAGAAGCAATCTCTTAGTCTTATAAAGTTTGTAACTCTCTTTTCTCTTCTCAACGTGGGATACTTACATGTGTTCTTTAGAAAGTTTATAGTTCAACACATATTTAAAGTACACGAAATTGGCAAATTTGAAAGGTGCATGCACACTTATATAGATCCAATTAAGATCCAACCACTAGCAGTAGTTTTATTTAGGTAATAATATTAATAGTACGAAGTATTACACAGTAGTACTGGTGCATAAATCAAGTCATCCAAGACTTGTTTATATTATTTCACTAGTACATAATACATACGTAGTAATATAAACTTCAAATATATTTTGATGTAACTTATATAAGCACACCAAAAATGGCTTCTTAACCCAGCATTTATTGTTGAAGATTAGTTAGCAACCGCAATGGGTGCATTTTCTTGACGCTCGAACACTTCCAGCTTCCTAGTAGGGGTTTGACAGACTATTTCAAGAACTTGCGCATAATACTTGTTAGTCTTGCAACCTTCAGATGCCTCCAGATCAATAAAGTACCTCGTGCTACCAATAGTGCCTTCTCATACTTCAGGTTTGTCCCCTACAAATTACGACGAGGATTAAATAAACATAATAAATCAAATTTGTGAGACAGAGGATTTGGACTTGATCAAAAAAACAAATTTATGGGATAGAGGATTTGGACTCGATCGTAATGAGATATCGTATAATATATTTTTGTAAGGATATCTTTTGGCAAATATTATCTATTGTATTTTAGTTAACTTCCTAGGATTCTAGCATATCTTTTGATTCTATTGTTAGGAAGTGTAACTATTATATATTTGACATTACGATCAATGAGAAATTCAAGTCATTCAATTATATTTTCTATCTAATTTATCATTGTATCAAGAGCAGGTTAAATTATTTTTTACAACTAGTTCAAAAGTTGTATTATTTGCAACGTAAAGTGAATAATTGATTTTAGTAATACTCCATAGGCCATGTATCATTGGTATTATAAAATTGACCTATGAATATGTTCATTATATTGATTACGTAGTACTGTTATACATCTTGTACTCGTAATTTACGGATAAAAAGTTAATTACTGTATAAGACAAATTCTTGTAAAAGACGGTCTAATAGATTTTTGTTTGACGTGTCAAGTATTATTTTAACAAAAATTTACCTTTTGCCTATTATGCTCATCAACAGCCCAAGCAGCAACCTCTTGGATCTTTGGATCGTTTAGGAAGACCGCTGAAAGGTCGTTCCATTCTTGATGAAAAATTTTCCTTAATATTATGATAAAGATCCCATAATTATTCTTACTTTTACTCTATAAAACTTACTATGTACGAGTATTTTTTATAAGTACTACACAATATTTTAAATATACGAAATTGGCAAATTTGAAATGTGCATGCACACTTATATAGATCCGATTAAGATCCAACCACTGACAGTTTTATTTAGGTAATAATAGTATTACACAGTAGTACTAGTGCATAAATCAAGTCATCCAAGACTTGTTTATTTCACTAGTACATAATACATACGTAGTAATATAGAACTTGAAATATATTTTGATGTAACTTATATAAGCACACCAAAAATGGCTTCTTAGCCCTGCATATTTGTTGTTGAAGATTAGTTTGCAACTGGGATGGGTGCATTTCCTTGTTGCTTGAACTCTTCAAGCTTCTTAGTAGGGGTTTGACAGACTATTTCAAGAACTTGCGCATAATACTTGTTAATCTTGCAATCATCAGATGCCTCCAGATCAATAAAGTACCTCGTGCTACCACACATATCTTCTCGTTCTGCTTTTAAAGTCCTCACATACACCAGGTGTTTCCCCTACAAATTACGACGAGGATTAAATAAACATATTAAACCAGAATGCACGACGAATTGACCTATGCGGATGTTCATTATATTCATTACATAGTATTGTTGTACATACTGTACTCGTAATTTATGGATAAAAAGTTAACTACTATATAAGATAAATTATTGTAAAAGACGGTTTGATTGATTTTTGTTTGACGTGTCAAGTATTAGTTTAACAAAAATTTACCTGTTCCTTGTCATACTCAGCAACTGCCCAAGGAGCAACCTCTTGGATCTTTGGATCCTTTGGGTCGACAGGAATACGACCTTTAGGGATGTTCTTCTGTTGAGCAGAGGAACTCATGATTCTTGCGTATGATTTTGTGTTATGTAGGGTGTGTATCGTTGTATTGTATGTATGTGTTGCGGAACTCCATCTTTTGCAAACCCTCTCTATTTATAGGAAAGGAAAATGGAATCAATTATTATTATTGGTTTTTTTTTTTTAATTCGATCAGCTTATGTGGCTTATTGAATAGTGAATATATTCTTGTTAATTTGGACCGCCTACCAACTTTAACTCGATTCTTAATTACCTGTTATCTTGATCATACACGTTGTTTTGATGATACGCGTGCACTTTAATTGTTGTTTTAAAAGCAAATAAAAAAAGAGAAAGTATTTGTCACTAATATGAAGTGAGAATTTTTATCTTTTTATCGCCATTGATTCTTTTTATCATGTATGGGAAATGAAAGTGATTTATTATACTTCATGATTAGATTTTTATAATCTACAGCCTTGATCACTTCAGAGAATGATGTACATTGATTAAAATTAATTTCAATCAATGAAAATCAACTTAGATAAGAGGAAAAAAAGTTCCAAATCAGTAAAAAATACAATTTTAAGTTCTAACCACTAACCCCAAAAACCGGTAAGGATAAAAACATTTAACCAAAAAAAAAAAAAAAAAAAAAAAAAAAAAAAAAAAAAAGAGGTTCACTATAACCATACTTATGGCCTAACAACTACAGTATTGATTAAGTTAATACTACTGCCAAATTAATTTAATAGGTTATTGATAATAATTTTAACATTAGGTCAATATAATTGAAACTTAAAATCACAAGTCATCAAAGTGATTGGCATATTGCACAAGCTCAAGGCACTACTACATTTCCTCAAGAATATGGCATAACCGATTTAAGTAACAAAAAATTTAAATTTGTTATACCATTAATTACCATATCATATGCTACTCATCATCTTGAAAAGCCCTTCAAAAGTAATAACAATTTAAGAAAATATAACTACTTTTCTTTCACATTCAAAATAATTCATGCTAAATAATTGTAAAACTTTATATATCAAATAAAAATAAAAAGTGAAATTTCCTTAGCGTAAGTCTAATTATACCCGAGTCCCACTGGAAATTCATCAGTGTAACACAATGGTGACATGGTGAGTTGATGAACAAGCAAGAAGAATATTAGCAAAATTGAGAGTTTACTGAATATAATCCATAATAAATTGATTGTAGATGCAAAGCCTAAGAAAAGAAGCTGAGGAAAAGAAGAAAAAAAAGATCGATGCCATAGCACAAGCACTTTTGTCAAATTTCCCTTTAGTTATGCCCAAGAGCAATGTGTCCCTAAACTCGTGTTCTAGAGCTGAACTACACCTGGTAAGGAAGTCTTCAGGTTAATTCGAACAAGGTGCAGTAAAATCTAAGTATAGAATAGCCAAAGACGATATTACTTGGCCTTGTTTCGAGGAGGAACGCCCAGTCTGTCCTAATATTAGCACCAGCTTCTTTCATATCCTCCACCTAAAAAAGATGCGCAGCCTATTAGGATAAGTAACACAGATGACCTTCAATGCAAAAAATTTATGCATGATAATTGTTGGCTAGAAATTCTGAAATTGGGACTCAAACAAAAGGAGGGGAAAAAAAAGGGTGCAGGCATGTAATAAAAATAGGCAAAACGTTTTGTAAAATCCAGTCAGAAACCATTTCGATTAAAATCATAAGTATTGCATCGGAATCCAGAGGAGCCTACAAGCTAAACTGAAGTAGATACTGTGAAATAAAATCAGCTATAGCACAATCAACCAACATTAGGTTGATATTGATTAAATCTTGAAGAGACAAATGGTGATGACCTCAATGATGAAAGGAAAAACAAGAGCATGACTCGAGTATGTAACAATTATTAGAACAATTAAATGAATTAATCAATCGAAATTCCCTCACTTCCCAGGAGAAAATGTAGTTTCGCTAGCTTGACTAAGGTTCAGGCATATAACAGAACAATGATATGAACTTTTTTTCATTCCTTCCTGCTCAAAATAGACGATTCTAGCACATTTGAATACCACTTATTTATCAGCGTTCCTAATTTCTTAAAGTGAGCAGAATTGTGCATATTCTTTGCCTTACCTAAAGTTGGAAGGTATATTTGGCTCAATTGGTCATTTTAAGCTACCTGAAGGAAACATAAAAAATAAGCAAACAACTGGGTACAGGATACAAAATGGAAGTTCTCGCCGAAAAGGTAAATCCAAAGCATTGAGTTCATGAATATGAAGTTAAATCGCAATACGTTGTTTGATTTAATTGAATTAAGGTTCAAGACTCAAACATTTTGGTCAATTCAGGGTATAGAACACCTAAGTAGTCGAACCAAAAACGCTCCAAGCCTAGTACTTCATCTAATCTCAATTCATGTACATTTCAGTCACTTCAAAGCCTAAAATTTCATGCATCTCAATTCTTGTACAATGCAATCACTTCAAATCACTCTCTTCGACCGCCTTTGTTAACTTCGACCGCCTTTGTTAAAGGGAATTCTTTTTACCTTGATCCATAAAATGGAAAACTAACCAGAAAAAGGGTTTGTAATCAGGAAATTGTAATTGTATTTGCATTTGGGATCACTTGAGAATTAAGTCAAACATTATAACAACCTAAATCACAAAAATCTCAACTTTACATTCAATGTTCTTAAAACAATTAACACCATCATGAATTAAAGTTAAATTTATAAAAACTTCAGCTAAAACATCAAATTAAACCCTTCAATAAACAAACCCCAGATCCTCATTTCAAATGCACCAAAACACCCAATTGGAAAACCACCAATTTCAACCATGATCAACTAATCAAACCCAAATCAATTTATATTCAACCAACAAAACCCAACAACAAGTTAATCAAAATTGATGAAATTAAAGCTAAAAATCCAACAAATGTTCCCAAAAAACTCACATTATGAATGCCGGCGGCGCTAAGGGCGGAAACGGAGGCGGTTGCGGCGGCGCCGACGAAGAGAGAGGCAACGCCGAAAGCTCTGGCCGGCATAAACCGGCAATCTCCGGTAAACCCTTTTTTGTAAGACTTAATTCCCCACCCTAATTGGGCGGCGCTAGCTATGACCCACCACCAGTGGGTTCCACTTGGAACCCACTTCCATGCTTCTTCTATCCCGAACTTAACTCCGTCGTTGTTGTTGACGCTGCTACTACTCTTTTCCTCCATTTTCATCTCATTTTCTTGAACTTCGCCTTTTAGGAGATTTTATTTCTAGTCTCCCAATTTTACTTCTTTTAAAGTTTCATTATTTATACTTTCACGGTTATTTAGTATTGCTTGGCATTAAAGTTAAAATTTGGATGTATTTTGAGAATTATCAACTAATAAATGTGAGCTCTTTCCCAAATTAAAGTCAAGAAGAACCGCAATTCCCAAATTGCAGCCAAATCTTTTTATTTTCCCATTCTACCGTCCACGTAAGCACTGGTTAAAAAACCGGTTTTTTTTTTCCGGTCCAGGGTAAACCGCTACTTGAAGTAGCGGTTTCTTTGCAATAAACCGCCACTTCAAGTAGCGGTTTCTTAGTTTAAAACCGCTACTTCAAGTAGCGGTTTTTCAAAGTAAACCGCTACTTGAAGTAGCGGTTTTCCAAAATAAACCGCTACATAAAATAGCGGTTTTTTGTAAACAAACCGCTACTTCAAGTAGCGGTTTTAAACTAAGAAACCGCTACTTGAAGTGGCGGTTTATTGCAAAGAAACCGCTACTTCAAGTAGCGGTTTACCCTGGACCGGAAAAAAAAAAAACCGGTTTTTTAACCAGTGCTTACGTGGACGGTAGAATGGGAAAATAAAAAGATTTGGCTGCAATTTGGGAATTGCGGTTCTTCTTGACTTTAATTTGGGAAAGAGCTCCTATAATTGCTATTATTGAGTTTCAGAATTGTATGTATGTGTTGTTGTTGTTGGTTTTGGTTGTGTTCAATAATAGCAATTATAGCAACCTAAACTGAGTAATGTGATCGAAACCATTAATAATTCTACAAGGGTTATATGTAAGGTAAGTAAATCAACAACAACAACCAAAACCAACCACAAACATACATACAATTCTGAAACTCAATAACAACAACAATAAACAAGAACACTAACAACAACAACACAACCAAAACCGAAACTCAATAACAACAACAATAAACAAGAACACTAACAACAACAACACAACCAAAACCAACAACAACAACACATACATACAATTCTGAAACTCAATAACAACAACAAACTCAATAACAACAACAAACCCAATAACTGAATACAAAAAATAATTAGGGCACTTACCACAAACAAGAAGATCAGCACGTTTCTTCTGAAATTAGCGAAGCCGACCACTAAAGTCGAACCCTCGGCGTCAACAGCGGCGGCCTTCGTTGCTGAGGAATGCTCCGGCGGCGTCGGTGGATTCCTTGGCTGCGCCGGCTTCCGTTGAAGGAGGTGTGATTTTGGTGGAAGGCGTGGATGGGATTTTGGTGAGAAGACGAAAATGAAAGAGGAAAGTGAAATCAAGAAATTATACCTGCTAGAAAACCACTACTTGAAGTAGCGGTTTATTAAACAAAAACCGCTACTTGAAGTAGCGGTTTATTAAAAAGAAACCGCTACCTGAAGTAGCGGTTTATTAGTAAAAACCGCTACTTCAGGTAGCGGTTTTGCTGTAGACCGGATTTAAAATTTCTTCCCCCTGAACCGGTGACGTGGACGGTACTTTGGGAATTCTTAAAACTTTGGCTGCAATTTGGGAATTGCGGTTCTTCTTGACTTTAATTTGGGAAAGAGCTCAATAAATGTTGTTTGGAATATTGGGATGGAGGTTAGGGTGAGTCAAGGATAGAGTTTAAGTTACATACGCTTTGATCTTACTTTTATCGTTGCATAGTGATTGTATTTTGTTTGAAACGGTCTCTTAAAAAGTCCCATTCTTGATTTGAATTAAATTCACATTTTAAGACTTAAGAGGTAGTATGGTCTAGGTATGTGTAGGACATGAACAAATTTTGTGGTAAATTGATCAGGTTTGTAATCAACTTAATGATAAGCAGATTTTTTTTGTTGACAATTGTCATACACTATGATACTTTAGTGTGCTAGTTTACTATGAAGTACTTCTTACAAGTCGAGGGCGACTTGATGGAGCAACCTGTTTAAATTCGAACAGAATAAGCAAAGTTTAAAGGTGACGATCACCATTTACCAAGTATTTTGAAGGATACAAGAAATTGCATAAAAGAAAAGGCTAACAAGCTCAACATTATAATGAACCTTATTGAGGAACATACCCTCATATTATATTATTGTAGGTATTGATAAACAAGCTTAGAAATACAGAATATGCTGATGCTGAACCAAACTTCGACACTTCGTGCAGACTGCAGGAACTATAAATTGTGAACTCCATACTATACAAGAGCTTTGTCAACATCTGACTGCACCACCAATTATTAAGTTTAGCTTTACTTAACAGACCTCATGGTATCTCCTACTTGTATTTTTCTACCTCTTACACTCTTACAGATCTTCCAAGGACAAAGGCCTGAAATGATCACCTGATGAGCCTGCAAATGTTAGTCAATCAATGACCCATAGCAGCTTTGGTAGCTGAAGCTTTATCATGCTCAAAGATATGTCATGTACTCGTGGCCCACGCCCTGAACCTTAAACTACTTTAGGCAGGAGCTTTGTAGTTAATGGTCCTAATGGATGCAAGTTCTTAAAGACAGGATTGCTCCCTCCCACCAAAAATAAATAGGCATATACAGTATTCTGATGCGTAGAGGATAGTTGTCACAACTCCTGAAACAGATTCAGATCATGGTTAGATTTTCAAGCACATCCTGGTTTTCCCACTGACATGTTGTGTTGAGACAGGATGGGGAAGAAGCTGCTATAGTAAAGGGAAACCTAATTATCATCACATAAGTACAGGCGCAAGCAACTTTTGTATCCAGCAATTCATTCCAGGACTACCTTTGAACAGACTGAAAGATGTTCACAGCCAATCTCTTGTGCTCTAATCATCTGAGAGACATGTAATTCTATCTGAACAAGCAAAAATCAGGTTTATAGCGGTTTAGCCAAATTGTAACACATGAGGAGGATAGGCTCTCTGATAAAGTCACAAAATATTATTCTTTGTATAATTCAAGTTATGAAACTGAACTGAATCTGTGACCAAAGGATTGACTTCTTTTTTTAAATTAAAAAATCATAGGCCCAAAAATAATCGTATATGTTTTCTTTGAATAATATGAATCTATCAAGTATAAGTGCTTAGAAACTCTCAAGAACTTTCATTGCTCACTATACATTCTGAGCTGGAAACTGTCTTATGATACTTTCTTTGATTCACTTGTCTTTGTTTGCTCGCATTGCTCCAACCATAATTGAGGTGCTGTTGGATGTATACAGAAAAGTTGTTCCAAGAATCCTTTCTTACTTATAGCTATAATGCCTGACAAAGTGTACTTTTTTTTCATCCAGCCCTGCTTAGCTAGCCAGACATGAAATCTATATCTGGGCTTAATTCGCTTTTCTAAATTATAAATCAAATAGGCTGGAAAAGTCTCTAGGGAACTCCAAGGATAAACCGACTTCCTGGCGAAGGAAGTCAAATTTCCGTTTAAGAGAGTCAGTCTCCTGATTTAAAATCTTAGGTATATAGCTTATCATCTTGCACAGTTTGGAGAACTCAATGCCTTCATTTAGTAGGAGATCGAACCGTTCATGTAAGTCACCACCAGAACCATGTACATCTTTTAAGAGCTTCACGGTGAAACCATGCTCTCCAAATCCAATGCCATGAAAAAATTTCAACTACATAGTAAATAACTATAATTTCTTAAGCATTTGATGTTCTCCATCTCCTGTACATAATTCACGTCTTCACCTTCATCCGGGACTACTCAAATCATAATCACCCAATAACAGATACTTCCCCAACTTCATATTATGGAAGAACCATTCATGAAGATCCATGGCTCTAAGAATATGGGGCAAATTAGACATCTTATTCCGACCAAATACATAAGAGTATTTCTCCATAAGGAGTTTAAGTTTGTTCTTCGATAAGCCAAAATGATTCAAAAATCCGGATACAGAAACTACACGATTTTCGATATCAATTCTCAGTATCTTAGGATGGGAAAGAAGCAACAAACCAACATCTGCTTTCCCAACACTCAACTTACAAAAGAACTCAACTTCTCAGCCAAAACCTTCTCTATATAATCAGTGAAAACAACAGAACTCTTACCAATCGACTCTCCAACTGCCCTTTTCGGGACACCCAAGTCATAGAAAAACCTAAGTTTCCTACAAACCTCATACCAAAGATCCACATTTCCAATTAATCCATCCCCCAAATCATAATCTATCAATACCCTTTTCAATTCATCCAATAATTCATCAAATTCACCCTTCAATCCAACCTCTTCCCCCTTCAATAAAAAGGGAAACCCTAAACAAATACCAACAGCTTGTTCAATACTAAACCCCATTGCTAACAACCCATTAAACTTTGACCCCAAAAACTTGGGATTATTCTCAAAAATCGAAATTTCTTCAACATACAATCTCCCCAACTTATTCCAAGGAAACCCAAATCCAGCAAGTGTACAAGCAACATTTAGAACAATTGAATCATCAGAGAAAAAATGCACATTTGGCTTCAAAAAATCATTAATATTACAATAATGAATTCCAATACTTTCATAAAAGAACCCAAATTCATGAAGAGGATTATACCTAAGAAACCTCTGAAAATTCTTGCGGAAATAAATGGCTGAAAAAACTACCTTTGACATCAATTCAGCAAGAGAATGAACGGAGTTTTTGCTGATGAACTCGGCATATGAAAAGGGTAATGCACTGGTAGTATGAAGATAATCTGTGATAACTTCTTGAGCTTCTTTGATTGCTTGAGGTCGATATTTAGTGGGGACTTTGCCAAGAGTTGGGAGATTTGTGTTGGAGCTGAAATGGCGAAGTAAGGTTTGAAAGAGAGGATTTGAGAAGGGGGTGAAAGGGAAGAACAGGCGCATTGTGAAGGACACATTGAGAGAGATTTGTTAGGGCTCCCTTTAACAATTGGACTAACTCTCTAATCTCTATTCTCTTTATTTTGGCAACAATTGGTTTATTTAGAATTTGTTTCTTACTTGATATGTTTTTTTTAGTTAAGATCCAATCTTACAATGGAGTAAGTATATTTCGTTACTTGATGTTTGTTGTGTGGATACTTATTTTGTAAATATTTTTTGTATTAATGAAAAATTATGTATCGAATGTAGAGTTGTGTTGTATGACAATTTGTATGACTATTTGGATTGCATATTTAGATAATTGTAATTTTTCATTGGTAATTTTTAATGTGAATAGTTGTGTTATTTCATTAACTCTTCATTAGTTATAATGGATAGTTGTGTCATTTCATTACTTGCACCTTTTCATCCATGTAGGTTGTTCTGATTTTAGGGACTAATGATTAGTTTTAATTACTCTCTAAATATACATGCATGTAGTTGTTGTTACTCTAATCTAGTTTATTCGCTGGTTCCTTATAATTACGATACCATTTTATAAGAAACGAAACTCATTTTGTCCTGGGAGACAATTGCTTAATAACTTTGGGTATCATAGAGGGAGCAAAAATGTCTTAAGGACACAACGCGATTTGTTAGGCTCGGGTCATAATAATTTACATATTGAATCAATTTTAAAGGTATGTGTTATGTTTTATTTGTTTTGTAAATAAATATTTAATATTTGATTTTTAATACTTGTTTTTCGTATAGTATTAATAACATTTTTTCATTTATGCATTTTTTAATTTTTTAACTTTTGGTTGAGCGGAGTTGATAAGAGACAAGTTTTTATTTTTTTTATCCAAATGATGATACGAGCATCAAATAGTGATAAAGAAAACAACCAAAAAGCAAAAAGAGCAACATAATAAAAAAAAAACAAAAAACACGCTACCTAGTACCTACGGAGGGACAAGGCGTGACATCACAACGCCCCTAGTATCACTAAAGATTTCTAGTTGAGAATCCTAAATGACTCTACAATTGGCCAACCAATCTGCCGCTCGATTACCTTCTCCAAAGATATGCACTACTTTAATTTGCCAACAATATCACTATTCAGTCTCAAGCACTCTCTTATGTCATAAATGTTTTTGCTCCTTATAGCTTCTTGTTTCTGCAAAGCCTACATGTCAATTTATCAAAAGTAGCAGGATTAAAAGTATTACTCGTATGTGAGAGTAAAAGTGAGGTTTTCGTGATAAATAATAACAAAGGTGCAATCTTGTAGGGAGATTCATTTTTGGTATATGGGTAAATATTTAGAGGCGAGGGAGAGTATCAAATTAAGAAGGAAAATTACAATATCAATAAAAAGAGATATGAGACTAAGGAGAGTATTGAAGGTTTGTGATGAGAATGAGAGGTGTCAAATTGTTTAGCTCAACCCGATTCGAATTAAACCAAACGTAACTTAATTCAAACTACAAACCTGTATTGGCATAACGACTTACTAAACTACCAATTGGTTGTTGGTGCAGTGGTGATTAGGATTGCACTTGATAGGAAAGACTGCGTGTTTGATTCAACAACAATAATTAGGAGAAGAGTAGAGCTTAGCCATCCAGAATTGATCATCAAATCTGAATTAGCTCAAAAAGTAAATTGGGTAAAACACCAAAATAAAAATGACTTACTAAACTTAAATCAAACCACACCCAATCCGACATAACCGAACCCGACTCGCCTTAACACCTTGGTTACCCCCCCTTCATTAACCAACACTCCGTATATAAATAGCCTTTCTTGCTTCATCTCCTTGCTACAAAAATAATTGAACAATGGCGCAACAAGGACAATACGCATCGATCCCCAGCCTCCAACCATACACACAACACCATCAATACATCCCACCACCACATCCACCGCTTCAACCACCGCACCCCTCCCACCACCAACCCTTAAACATCCCTTACCACCACCAATACCACCCTCACCACCACCCTTCTCATCAATACCCCGATTATGGCTCTGTTCCTCAGCTTCAACACATGCCTTTACCCCCAATTCAATACCCTTCTTACCCTCAACCCCATTACTCTGATCGGCCGTCTTCGAAACGTCCCCGAGAACCCGTTTCGGATTTGGCTGAGGTTCCTTCCACGAAACGCCAAGCTTTGGGGAATGATATTTTGTTTAGGGTTGTTGTTCCTTCTGGTCAAATTGGGAAGGTTATTGGGAAAGGTGGTCATAGGGTTCAGAAGATTAGGGATGATACTAAGGCTACTATCAAAATTGCTGATCCTATTGCTGTGAGTTTTGCTCAATTTTAATTGGGTTTTTTTTTTTTTTTTTTTTTTTCTTTCTGTTTTGTTATTGCTTTTTGTTTGGATTATATTCTATCATGTTGTTTTTCTTTGGGAATTTGATTATATAGATTAAGAAAATTAGTGTTTTGGGAATAATGGGGTATTGGGGTTTTTGAAATTTGGGGACTTGTTGTTTTAATTGATTTTGGGGTTCATTTTTTATGTTTGGAGTATGAGATAGGTGAAGCTGTTGAAGTTACTGAGGTTGGAAGTTCTCAACTCCATAGGTTATGATGATGTTAATTAGAATTTGTGTGATTAACTTGACATGAGAGGATGTATGATCTGTATGTTGATTGGAATTGATGCAGTGTCGTTGGAGTTATCACATATGACTAACTTAATTCGGTGAAGACTCGAGTAATTCTTGGGTAAAAAAATACTGAATTGGTATCTGAACCAATGAGCTGAAAATTTGAGGAATGTATATTGCTAGTTTTATTTGTGCTAAAGACTGTGTGTTGATCCTGTTAGGAAGATGAGTTTAGTATGCAGTTGTCGGTAAATGACAGCCTTTTGTTGTTAATCCTTTGCATCAAAATGGGTTATTATGATGTTAAAACTGCCTATCTTCTATAGGGTATAAGAGGCATCTCTTCTTGATTCTGGCATGATGTTACAATAGGAGATAAAATCATACAGAGACCTTTCTATGTGTAACTGATTTGGTGGACTGCAAGGCTGTGAGATTTAGTGTAGATTATGACTCATTCAATAAAACAAAATGCAATTGAGAACTGCTTCATGAAGATTAGCTCTTGGTTGCTTTTTTCAGATGAAAGGATACTCAGGGATAGTGATTTTGAGCCATCAAATTGTTATCTGGACTAGAAACTTTCAAGTAGGGCAAATACGTTGGAGGGCTTTCATGTTCCTACATTTCGATGTCACTGATCGAATAGAAGAGTCTACAAAAAAAAAAAAAAAAAAACTTGTATTTTTTAAATTAATTTTTCCCCCTAATTTTATTTACTAATATTTGTTTTTGTTGGGTTGAGCTGATTGCATCATAGCAATTATATGCGGTCTAAGGTCTATAATTGTAAGCTTGCAGTCTTTTAAAATTTCTACTGAGATGAAAATATTAGTAGTTTGATTTAAGCTAAAAATTTGGGTTCATAGAAGTGAAGTTTTTTGGTAGAAAGACAATGGAAGGTGCTCTAAATATGGAGTACTGTTTAGAACTTTTAGTTCAATGTCGTTATTTTTATTTTTCCTGAACTTGATGCTTGAAAGCTGTGGCTCTGTTTTTTCTTACTAATCCAGCAAATAACTTTTGGATAAAACGTGTTTTTGGAGAGCGGGTACTTAAAATTACTTTGCTACAGATTGCTGCCAAACATCTGCTAGTGCAATCTCAGATAAAATCACAAGTTTAACCTAGTGTATCTTATTCATCTTTGGAGAAGCTGCTTCCTAGTTAAATTATCTCTGTATAGTTGGCCGAGGTCAAATGGGTTGGTATGTTGTTTCCTTGTCAAGTTTAAAGAAGTAGCTGATTTTATAGACGAAGAATTGCAGTCACTTTAATCTGGTAATGTAGTGTTTGGATTATTGCTGTCCAACTCCTGTATATTGGCCATAATATATGCATTCATACAGTAGTCAACCTCATTTTTCTGTTCTATGTCTCTGTTTCGTAAAAGCTGTGTTGCTTATTGCCATATTAAGTGATATTGGGATTCGTGGTTGCTTGTTAAATGTACGTTCCAGTTAAAGTTTTTGTTTTTTTTTTTTTTTTTTGGCTGACTTTTGGGTATAATATGGAGAATTCTTGTATCAAAGCTGATTTGTAAATGAGTGAATGACAGCATGTTAACTTGTTGACCTTTTTGTGTTAGCGATACGAGGAACGTGTTATAATTGTTAGTTCTAGAGAGAATGAAGCTGGTGGTATCAGTGATGCGGAGAAGGCTTTGCTTCAGATTGCTTCTCTCATCCTTGCGGTATTTAATCCTGCTTTCCCTTATCTTGTTTTTTCATAACAACTCTGTTACGTAATTTAGTCAATAATATAACTTTTTGTTTTATATTATTGAGTGTTAAGTAGAATTTGTTAAGAAAACCAAACTTGTACAGACTTTTGTGATTATAATGATTCCCTATGTTCTTATGGTTTAAAATATATATATTTAAGGATATCATATATATATAAAAAAAAAAAAAAGCCTAGTCTTTCAATTGGTGATTTGGTGTATCTGAAAGCAGATCTTTCTTTTTTTGGATTGATTTTGATATTCATTCCACTTCTTCTCTGGTTGTTTATGTAAACATTTCATGTTCACCTTTATAAATTATTTACATGCTTTGAGTGATAAATTATTGCATTTGATGAATGAAAGGGATCTTGCAGAGCCAGATAAACTAGAATTCCAATAATAAAGAAATAAATATGCTTTTCTGCTAATATAGAAACGGTTGGGGAAATCTTTTTTAAAGTGTATTGGGATTTGTTTTTCCATCCTTTGGATTACTGGAAGTATTACATGGTCTTATGATGGAACATGCATATTTTCTCTTGTCATAATAAATTGGCCTTGTGTATCAAATTGAGCAACAGGATGATGGAAGCAGTGCACCTGCACTAAGCATTGCTGCTGCAACTGATCCTTATGCTGCTGCTGCTGGCATCAGCGGAGGACATGCAACCACAAATTCAGTAAAGCTATTAATAGCTGGTTCACAAGCTGGTGGCTTAATAGGAGTGTCAGGTCAGAACATTGAAAAGCTTAGAAACTCTTCTGGTGCCACAATTGCTGTTCTGGCGCCAAATCAATTGCCTCTGTGTGCATCTGCTCATGAATCTGATCGCTTGGTCCAGGTAAGATGAACGTTTATAAGCCTACCATTGTGTAGTTTAATCTTTACTTGGACATATGGTCCTTGCTCTGGTATCTTATCGAGTTGTCTCTTATCCTGATATGAGATATTTTCTTATGATTAGAAGGGCAAATTCCCAGATTCCTTTCTTTTTTTAATGGGGTAAAAGGCTATAAAGAAATCTTAAAATTAGTAGATACCATAGATCTACATCTCAAACGTCTCCCAGGGACATGGAAAATACATGCAATCCACATGGAATTTACTCATTATAACTGTAAGCAACCAATAAGAAAATGTATTATTATTGTGGGTTTGTTTGGGATCTCAAATCTCTTGTAGATGTAACATTATCCTTTCTTTTTGGGTGTTTTTGAGTCTGTAGGATATTATATGCCAGTTGTGTTTTGTTTCAATGTAGAACATGCTATTATTGTATGACCACATATAGGATCTAAGTCAGGTAGCTTATTCTACTTATATAAGTTAAGTAACTTTGTTGTTGTTAGTTGAGTTTGGAGTTTGTGCAATGAGAACTAAAACGTATGTTGACATCATCGATGTCTCTAATTGATTTCTGTCTAACTAGTACCGGAAGATAGATGACAGTAGTTTAAGTGTAATTTCCTGGTAACTCTACTAGGGGACATCCGATCCTCTCAAGAAGTTTGATAATTTTGTTGTCAATCCTTTCAATCCAACTAAGTCCCCTCCCTCTCCCTCCCTGCGTTCTTTCCTTCATTTCCCTGCCCCGTCTTCTTTCCCATCCCCTCCCTTTTCCCGCCTTCCTTTTCCCTTTCCCTTTCCCTACTCCCTCCCTCCAGCCCCTCCCTTTCCCTCCTTCCCGTCCTCTCCTTCCCAATCTTTAATGCAGTTACCTTTTGCACACTTCCACTCGCCTGCCCTTTGTGTGGCACTGACAAGTATGTAAATTAATGATTGGTAGGTTTGCACCAGGAAAGAGGAAAAAGGAAATACAGGTTATCTGGGAGGCTTTCCTTGACTGTTCTCATTTGCGTCAGTCTGGCTTTGAGTATGGATCAGATTTCTCTTGTGTTTATTGCCAACTCTTTTTTCTACCCCTGTTATTCCTCTAGATTTACTGTTTACATCATTGACGGGGAAGCAAATTAACGGTCTTTGATATGCTGAGACTTATGAGCTCAATAATTGGTCAAAAGGTTGGGGGCAATCTTGCTACCCCTTTGTTGTTATTTATGGATTGTAAAAGGAAAACATATTGCTTCTAAGCCCCATAATAAACTGTGAATTAAAGCATTAGCAATAACTTAGGTATGAAGGTTTTAGACTCAAATGTGTGAACATCGGAAAAAGGTCTATACATTCACCTGCATGAAAATAACAAATAGGCGCTTCTTTTAACTTCAGAGTTCCTTATTATATGTCACCACCATATACGGATTCAACTACATATGGTTTGAGGAGATCTAGACATAAAGAGTCATACCTAACCAATTGTGAGCAATTAGTGATAGAAAAATAGTACCAAAAGCAGAGAGATTAATGGAAGTCTAGTATTACCACAATACCACATGTTAAGTGTAACTAGACTGCTAGAGAAACAACAGTATGTGCACATAATTGATCAAATTAATCTTTTTATGCTCTCTTCCTGATTGTGTGAAATCTGAATCATCTATGATGCTGCTTACTTGTAGGCTTGTAGTCCAAAGAGGGAAGAAAAAGATAATTTTGAATTATTATGATCTGTGTTGTGAAGGTACAAAGTATGTACTTGTTTGGACCAAAATGAGCAAGATAACAATAATATGTAGACCAATGAAGTGAAACAAAATAGCTAAAGTTTTAACCCTAATGTAAATAATCTGAACTAGCTTATTTATCTTCATTCATGTTGATATTATTATTGGCATCTCATCATGATGAGATGCTTTCAGCATCTAGAAGTGAAAAATGTGCTTTTGTGGTTGGGTGGGGAACTGGGGTTCTTGAGAACTCCATCTCGTGCTTTGTGCTTGCTCTTTATCCTGAGAAATGATCATTGTCAATGACGGTATCAGATATCAGGTGAAGTTTCTGCTGTAATGAAAGCCGTGGAGGAGATTGGTGTTGAACTTAGGTAAATATACTTCTGGACTCACTAGCTTGTGTTCCATTATCTGCAGTCTTCTCTGTTCATTTTTATTCTATTATCAGGCAAAACCCACCCAAGCAAGTAATTTCAATCAGCCCAACATACAACTTGAGCATTGCTCGAGCAGCTCAGAATTATATGGACCCAAATGCTGGTAAATCTGCTTTCATAAGCATTTACTTCACAGTCGTTTTGGTCTCATTTTAATTATGTTTTTCCTACAATAATCATCCCGAGGGGTACATTTTGCAGCTGAATATGTGACATTGGATATGGTGATCTCGGAAACAATGGTGGGTGGCTTGATTGGCAGAGCTGGTTCCAACATATCAAGGATTAGAACTGAATCTGGTGCAATGATTAAGGTGCGCTCCCTAGTGATCAATGTTGTGATTCTATACTATGCACTATTTGTAATGGTAGACAGTAATATTTTTTATAATTAACTAATGATATCATCTATACAAAATTACTTATGCAAATTTATTTTTGAATGATATGCTCAGTGCCAGTTCATATCCCTTTATTCTGTAACATGTGAAAAATCGCTTATGTCTTACAGTCTTGGTATATATATAAGGGTGAATAATACTAGTCTAAAGACCACCTAGCACAAAGCTTTAAGGCCAAACAGCTGAACCAATGAACCCCCACCGCGATTATGCTCATCAAGGCACTCTGTATTAGCATGACTTTCACATTTTATTCTGTAACATGGTATACTGTTGTTCATCAGTTTAACTTACCTCTGATTGTAAGTTGTTCGTTTTAAAATTAATGCTATATATATTACACTTCAATAACTATGCATAACCATAATGGACACCTCACACTTACTAAGTAATGGAGAAAGAAACACTTTGTAAGAACTGAGATTCGTATTGGTCTATTACGAGTACATGTCAAGGATGTTTTACCACAAGAAAATTTACCTGAATGTATCTGAAATGCCTGTATTTTCTGTTCATTTTCTTATGATAACTTCCTTCTTGAATTCTTTCTCATTATATTATCCACCACGTCATGGCATTATTCTTCTGGGTACTTAAAATGTGCATTTGTATTGAACTTTTTTCTATGCATGATGCCTTGGGGGAAAAGGTGAGCAGAAACATAGGCAGATCCACCACCATGTCATCTCATTTACTTTTCTGACATGATGCTCGTTCTGTTTTCACTGTCAGGTATTTGGGGGAAAAGGTGAGCAGAAACATAGGCAGCTCCAGCTTATTGGCTCAGCTCAGCAGGTAATTTCGTTCTTTCGCTTCTTAAATTCTCATTCCTTGGGCTTTTTAAAATCCTTTCTAGATGGACAGCTTTAGAGACTCATCATTACCCCTCTTAATCTGGAAATGGGGGAAGTGGACTGCTGATATTATACTTGCATTATTGTTTATAATTATCGAAGGACGTATCACATAATACACTATCAGTCTATCAAGCAATAGGTGCTAGGGGTAATATTACATATTTATGAACTAGAGGATGAACTTGGATTTCCTGCTCTAAATTATTTTCCTTAAGATTGTACATGTTCCCTGGTGGCTTGCTTTTAATTGTTATATCTCTCTTCAACCCCAAATCATTTTTGGGACTAAGGCTTTGTTGCTGCTGTTGTATCCCTCTTCAGGTAGCCTTGGCGAAACAGAGAGTTGATGAATACATATATTCTCAGTTGACACAACAAACTGGTGCTGAGCAGTCAGTGTAAATGTTCATCCTTATCACTCTTTTATCATCTGCCACTACTTTACGCTTTAAGGTGTGCTTGCCTTTTGTAAAAGTTACATGACTAAAGTAGTTCACTAATGTTTCCCAATAATATGAAGTAACTAATCCAGTGTTTATTGAGTGATTCTTCCGGAGTTAATTTTATATTCTCGTTTTCTAAATTTTATAGGTTCATATTATTATGAATGTCTGGAAAAAGTCACCTTCTATAAAACAGTAGTGGTTGATGATTAGAATTCCTAAAAAGCTCTTACTTAATTGATGTAGATAATTTAAATTACACTATGATTATTAATTTTTATAAAATAATGTAACTGAATTTACACCCGTAAACTGTATTTGATTATTCCTTTGCATGACTATGCTATTTTGTGCATGCACAACTCTAGCAGCCCTGGTTGCGTATCTTAATCGTTGAGAAACTTTTATTTCCCATCTTGCAGATTGCCACAGTGAAAGAGATAAAGTTTGCCGCATGCGTACTCTTGCGCTTCTTGTCAATGTATCTATTGGTTTAAATATGACCTACAACTTTTACTTTGAAGAGCAAGCAAACCGGATCACATTCAAGCCATGCATAAACTTAATCGTTGACATTTCCCTGGTTTAGATCTGTACTTTTGAGTTAGGTCTTTACTTTCAATGATAAACGCCAGGAGACTCCTCAGACTAGCATAGTTGACATATTGATTGTTACATGAACATTATCTTGTATTAGACCTGGTGTAGTGGTGTGTGTAGACGCATTCTTTTGGATACAGTATTGTATAACATACTCTCAGTTTTGACTATGGAAGTTTCTATGTGTAAATTCATGAGCAGATTTTAGTTTATTAACGCTGTTATGTCTTGGAAATACTCTTTGGAAAGTTTTATTGCCATAGGCCAATAACCCAGCATTTTTTCTTTATTAATGGGGCTAACTTTGCATCTATCTTTTGTGCAAATTTCTAATGCAAACGGATACAGTAGGCGAAGTTCTAAGTTTACAATGTTCTTTTTGGCAACGTGCACATTTGACAAATATGGTACGAGTAGCATATAGTACTTGAATACTCCGTATTACATAACTTTTTATGAATGCTACTTATTTCATGTTATGCTGAACTTTTGCCTTGCCAAATACATCAGCTATAATACTCCGTGTGGTTTGGGTCTAAATTGCTAGAAATGCTAGTTCAAAAGTCAAAACTATTGACGAACGTACCCTAGTATCCCTACCTGTTAGCACTAAAACGTTAGCTGATAGGCGTGTATGTAATTAAATAAAAATGAATTAAAATGTACATACAACTATACAAGGAATGGGGAGAGCAATGTGAGAACCATATAATGTTGTTCTAACAAAAACACTCTTCTGAAAAAAGGAGTGGGTGAGTGGCTTATAAAGCTGATGTACCAAAAATGAAGCAATACGATTATCAAGAGAACATATTGCTCTATTTCAAAATCTTTATGGGGAGAAACACAGTTGCAGTCATTAACCATGCCTGAATCCAAACAAAGACAAATGGTACTTCTTCGCTTGCTAAAGGAAAGTGAGAAATCTTAAGATGAAAGAAGTTCATACTTCAGGATCAAAACCTACTTCTTGGATTCCTCATCCTTCATCTTTTTCTCCCATCTACGCTTCTTGTAGTCCAGTAACATTTGTGGCATCTTCTTCATCAATTCTGCAGTATTTGCTCGTTTCTCTGCTGCTATTCTGTCAACCTTGTGTCCTTTCCTCTTTGTTCTCATCTCTTTCCTCGCAGGGTCATAAGGCCAGTCTTGTTCGGCAAGTAAGACTTCTTTGCGGATCCTAGCACGGCGACGAGCACTAATTCCCAAAGGCTTCCATGCCCCAAGTTCCCAGTAACCCCAAACTCCTTTGGCAAGCTCATCTCTATACTTTACTAGCTTCTCCTGCCAAGGATATTGGTATTCAGTAGCTGCTTTTGCCACAGTTTTCACAGCCTTGCTTGCCATCACCTCCGATGATCTACCTCACAAAAAATAAGAAAGGATTACAATCACATATGTATATTAAAAGTGTTTTACAAAATGTTGATCATTGAGATAGGTAACCGTAAATGATTAGTAGCGGACAGTGACATACATCACATCAATAACAGCAAATGATTAGTAGGGGACGGGGACAGTGACTACTGGTACAGTGGTACTAGCCATCACAAGTTTTTCAGGCAAAATATTAACGGCCATAATCAAATTATTTCACAAACAACTACCATCAGAAGTGATGAGAATATCCTAATAAGAATTTAACAATATGTCCAAAATCACATTACAAGGATAATTCTATAAATTCTAACTTGTTGCAGTCCTGTACACCAATTATTTCTGAACCAAGCAAGAATTCTTAGTTTATAGGACTAAAAAAGCCAACCATTACGTACATCAACATCAACTCAAATGAGGTTTACTAAGATCACAGGACTGTCCACACAAATTTACCAAGGAGAAAAACGCAATAGAAAATACAGCGTCTTAATCTTGGTAACATATAAAGTCGACCACAACACAATGGACTGACCACTAGCATTACACAATATAAATGACAATACTTGTGCCAAGTCCTAAAATTTAGTCATCCAATGTACAAAAGGAACACAACTACATCATTATATCCGGAGAAAGAACTAATAACGTAAGGAGACAACTCGAAAGCCCGGAGAACTATGATTATCACAGAATAATCCTTAAAGATCAACTATGACTATCACAGAATAATCCTTTTTCTTCCTCAGAGATAAAAGCTGCTCTCCCCTTAATCATTCGTTAAAAAGTATCATTTCCTATATGACACAAATTTAACACTCAGATTCTTCTCTAACTCTTAGATTTCTGACAAGGTAGCTGCTTTAAGACGACAGAGTACAAACATGTAACAAGTTACAAATTACAGACTTCACTGTTTTTTATATAAGTTAGAAACACATGTTGGTACAATGAGTGTATCTTCCCTACATAAGTAGCACAGAGTAGTCTACTAAAGTTGGATTTTTACGAATATGAATTTTATAGAACTGGTTTCCATGATTATTTCATCTTAACTCTCCTAAGAAAATGCTTTTGGAAATAAAAACTTAGCCCGCTATGACCCAATAAAAACTAAGGTAAAAGAAATAAAAAGTAACTTATAATATATGAACTACATAAGCTCAACTTCCATACCTCACTCTCTTATTAATCAAATTTTTTAGTTTCATAAGAGGTAAGTTGCATGGAAAGCTTTAGGGGTCCATAGAAGTTAGTCAACACCATATTTCTAAAGCTGCTTATGCTCAACCTAACAAGGAGCTTGGCAAGAATAAACCTCAAGCACTTTCAGGCCCGTCCCTGAGGCAGGGCAGGAGGGGCGGCCGCCCTAGGCCCAGGGAAAAGAGATTTGATTTCATATTGAATTATCTCCAAAAATACATAATTTTAGGGATACTTGATTCAATAATCAAATTACGCTCATAATTTTCTTTTCTTTTGGATATGATGTTTCATAATCTAAGAATTTGCGAACCCTAAACTTAAAGCACTGATAATTAAATTAGATTAGATCAAATATAAACCCTAGATTGTGAAATTGATGTGATGATAACAACAACAAACAACTTACCTTAGAAGCTGCTTCAATGGGGGATACAAGAATTAGATTCAACGGAGAATGCTTCAATGGAGAACGTTGAGTGCGCTTCAATGGAGAGCTTGAGTGCGCTTCAATGAAATAACTCAGAGACTTAGGACATAGGAATGGAGGCCTTAAAAAGCCATGACCCGCCATGGTTATAATATGGGTTAGACCCGTCTGATAAATAAATGAGGCGGGTCTTTATATGATCGTCTAATTATGAGATAGATGGACTTTATAAAGGTTTTATGTAAATATGTTTTATATATTTTTTGATATTTCCATATGTCAAAGCTTGTATCAATTCTTTGAAAGTTTTTAAGAGTTTTTTTTTTAAAAAAAAAAACAGCTGAAATTACATTAATTAAACTGAGTTTACAACAAACAAAAGGACAGTAAGTAACATAAGTTACTATTCGCATAAGAAGCCCTTACGCAATATCACTTAAGGTCATTAACGACATTTACTATTTAGCTATTACAACGAGTAAGGACAACGCATATAAGGCTTACTAATATACATTTAAACATGCGATGAGACTATTGATAGAACGAGGGAAGTTAGTGATGATATTTCGAGTTGTGCAAGATATTTTCTAACATACAATTAAAAGTCTATGAATGTTGCTGAAATGACGGAGACAACCCAAAATCAGTATGTCTTACATTAAGGGACCCCAATAATTCAAATGGATAAAATCCTCTTGAGATCTATGCTTCATACATGTCAATCACATTTCTTTGTGATCTGATAAAACCATATCTTATACTCCCTCCGTCCCATAATATAGTTCCTATTTTGTTTTTTTCACGGTATTTAAGAAATGGGAGGAGAAGTGGAAAAGAACTAGACAAAAGTACAAGGCAAGTGGATAGTTTAAGGGGAAAAAGGTGAAAAGTTCAATTATAGACAAAAGTTAGAGAGAGAAAGTGAAAAAAGAACAATGCAAGTGGATAAGTTAAGGGTAAATTAGGAAGTTCAATGAATAAAGTAAAAATCAAGGGTATAATGGTCTTTACATACTATTCAAAAATAGAAACAGGAACAACATTTTGGGTCTCTAAAATAGGAAAACAAAAACTATATTGTGAGACAGAGGGAGTATATATTCTCATACAAGGTCATGATGTTGTAATGACTTTTACCGATATCACATACAAATGAGTTTAACAACACCTACAATGCGTTTATGTAAATCTGAAATTGAAATTTTTCTACATCTTCCAACAAACATAAGTAACACCACTTCCATTAAAGGAATACATTTTTATTAAAACTAAAGAGATTAAAAACGACAATTTCAAGAGTCAAACGACTCCATTTCATCCTCCAATTTACCCTGAATTCAACTTGTCTTCGCTTTTCGATCTATTATATTGGGTGCTTCCAAAATCTAAGTTTTAATTTTTAGAAAAATTCACTATAATTTATTAATCCGAACTTTCAGCAATTTACTCTCAATAATCCCAAATTACGTTAATTAGAGAGCACTATGAACTTTTTGGTTGATTTTTTTTCCACTAGATCGATTAACAAGTGACTTAAAGAAAGGGTGATTTTCATTTTGTAAAAGCAATGTGTGATGTGTCACAACATAATTGGTCCAAATTTTTTTTGTAAAAATAAAATAAAATAAAATAATTAAAACCCTTCCCAGCCAGCTACCATCCTTCCTCCCCTTAGCCCTAACCCCCAGCCCGACCGAAATTCGACCGCCTGCCTCCCGTAGCAACCGATAACAACCAGTCGGCCCTTCTCTACCCCTAAAAACACTCTGGAGACCCACCTACACCGTCGAAACCACCCCCCTTCCCCCATCCCCCAAATAGTCCCTCCCTTCTCAGGTCGATGAAACTGCCCTTCTTCCCTTCCCTTGTCGTTGAAACAACCGATTTTTTAGCTCCCTCAATTGGAGATTATTGCCAAGAAATTAAATGTAGTTGTGTTACTTAAGGTTTTTGTGGTAGATTTTTTTAGATTTATTTTCTTACAAAAAAAATAAATAAATAAATGGTAGTTAGTTGTTCTTAAAGTAGTCATTATAATGGTAGTTGTTGGTAAAACTATCTTAAATTTTCACAAAATTACCCTATATCTAAAGTATAATACTCCCTTCTTCACTTTTTATTGGATACGTTTTGACTTTTACACGTTTGTCAATACACCTATTTGATTATTATTCATTACATACTTCTTAAAATTATAACGATTGAATATTAATAGAGCATTCGTTGAGATGAATTAAACATGATTTCATACGACTCTTTTACTTTCGTGAGTAAATTTAAAGATTATCTAATTCCCTCTATCCAAAAATACATGACACAGTCAATATTGCACGCATGTCAATGCATTACTTTGAATTTATTTGTATATAATTAATTATTATGAAAATTATTTTAAAATTATATTTTGAAACTTTATATATATATACCTATTTAACAACATATTTTATGATAAAATAAGTTTTTATTATGTTAGTAAAAAATTATGATCAAAACTAATACATAGATAGTGAAAAAAGTCCAATGTCTCATATATTTTGGGACGGAATGAGTATTATGAATAACTTTTAAAATCTAAACATAACCAATAAAAAGAAACGGTTAAAGTATTATGAATAATATTTAAAATCTGATAATAACCAATAAAATATGGAGGGGTACCCTAAAAAATTTATCATCCTAAAGTATTTGTAAAAAAAATCATCCTAAAGTAATTGAAACACTTTAATATACATTTTTTTGATACATAACATTATTTTACCTTTAATAATTTTGATCGTATATTTATTATAATTAGTTGATACTATGAAATTTTATACAATGTATCAATTTTTTTTTGTGCATATTATATATAGAATTCAAGTCAATCTCCTAACAAATTATGCCGATTAAAGTGATGCGCACTTTAAAAAATGGAGGGATTATTTTTCTTGCATTAAATGTTTGATTTTATTATAAATTGATTTATTATAATTGTAGTTATATAAAGATATCTTAATGGATGTTATTTTTTTTATAGTAATAGTTTATATTAAAGTTATCAAAATCAAGATTCCACTTTGAATTGGAAGGGATTTAGATGTGTATGTGTTACTGATGATAGTAGTTGTTTCAGAAGTTTTCTTACAAGTTTTTATTTCTTACATGAGAATGTTTTTCTTGTTTTAGGCTTAAAATATTTTAATTATGCAATTTTATTTTCACAATGATTATTTTTACGATATAGGAGAATCGAGTGAGATGATTTTTAAGTGGTTGATAATTTTATTTGGTATGTATACATGTATGGATTTTTTAATATACGCATATTATCTTATTAGGTATTTTATATACTTTGAAAATTAAAGTGTCATCATTATAAGAAGATTATGATTCTTGGATTGTTTGATAAATTCTATTTAATGACTTGTTTACAAGCATGATAAGAAGTGATAATTTAATTATGAGATGATACATTTATGAAACATGATTATTATTGATTTCTCACTCATAATTATAGATTGAAACAAGTAAGTCAATTTAATACTCTTTCATAGAATGAGTCGAATCAAAGAAGAATTTCAATGTAAAAGTGTAATTATGCACATTTTGTGTGTGTCATAACCATGTTATAAATTGATTAATCACGGAATAAATTATCACATATAACTATTTAAAAATATAATATTCTTACGAATAAATCACAAAAGAAATTCAAAAGAGGTGTGTGAATAGTGAAAAAGTGTAAATAATGCAATTAAAATAACTGATGAAGTAATTAACAAATTACGTAAATATTTATAATTATAAAAACAAATGATTTATTCAACAAAAGTATTATCATTTTGCCCCGAGCCACTAGTATATTAGAAACGGCTATGAGCACTTTCATACTTTTTGGGGGGAAAGCGAATGCAAAACTCCTCAATAGAGAAGCGAGCTAAGATATGCTCCTTAAAACAAGGATGTGGCTAAATGGTGATCCCAAGCTTAAAAACAATCAAATTTTCCTCATGTCAAACTCGAATTCGAAACCTTAGTTTTTTTCAAGGAGAGGATGACATTACATTCCATCAACAAAAAAATTCAACCACAACAATCTCAAACCCTTAATTCGAATAGGAATATACTCGGCTCAAGCTCGATCAGATTTAGGCAGGCTCGGCTCGGCTCGAGCTCAAATGGCCTCAAAATTTTTCGACTTGGCTCGTGAGCTCGATTAGGACAAAAAATGCAACACATTTGCAACCAAATTGACGCAATCATGATATTAGACACGAAAAAACACATAAAAATCTTCACTTAATCAACGTAAATTGCAAAAAGCAAAATTCAAGCAATTAAATTGCTCATTACAAGCTTTCATAAATACAGTAACTGTAGTTCAGTATTCTACCTTAGAAGAATCCTCTCAACTCTAAGGCTCATTCAGCACAACCACTAGCTTCTAAGGTTGTGAATGACTTTTTCAATTGTTGGTTCGTTTAAACCACAATAAAATGTGCCGAAAAATACGACCTTAGCTTGTTTGAAGCCATATACAGTGCCAATCCAGACTTTCAATAGGAAAATACCTAAGTTTGGCATTGTGCAACATATGACTAACAAAATAAACAGGAAGCTGATTGTCATCCCTTTCAACAAGCAAGATGGCATTGAGCGAGTGATATGAGATTGCAAGGTACAAATACAACTTTTCAACTTTAAATGGATTAACGAGCTGAGGAAGTGAGTGTAAGTGATTTTTCAACAAGCCGAATGCTTTTTCAGTCTCTAGGGTCCACTTAAACATTGTTTTTTTTTCGATGGCTTGGAAAAATAGCACCACTTGTCCCCTAACCACTTGAGGAATCAACCCAATGCGGCTAAACAGCCGGTTCACTTCTGAACCTCTTTAACATTCCTAGGTGACCTCATGTCAAGGACGACTTGAATTTTTCTAGGTTAGCCTCTATGTCGCGCTAGTCACCTAGATTTCTGAGAAACTTGTCGGACTCAAAACCAAATACACATTTCTTAGTATTCAGCATCATCATATGCCACCTGAGTGTCGTAAATGTTTCTTGGAGATCGCGGATATTATTATTAAAATCCCGATTTGAATCTTAGAATCTTATGATTTTACGATTCATGTATGTCATATGATTCGATTTACAAT